AAGAAAAAGGAGAATATATATTTATGGAGAAAACACCACAGAGCCAATAGATAAACCAAACAAATACAAACACCAAACACTCAGTAAAGAGGGTGGGGGCAGAATATATAGAGGGTGAGCTGATATACAGGAAATAAGGTTAAGAATTAGATAAATATGGGGAGGACCTCAGTTCAGTATAGAGGAAGTAGGGAAGGGATGAGTGGAAAAGAAGAGAAAGAAGGGGAACAAAATAATATATTTACAAAAAAATTGATTTAAAAATGGTATAAAAATAGAAAATAGCAAGTAAAAATAAAATAAAATTGAATGATGAAAAAATAATGTGAAAAGAAGTAGAAAATAAAGCAACAAACAAAAAAGGAAAACAAAGAAAAAAGCAAAAAAAAGCTAACAAAATAATAATATAAAAATAAAAATGGGAAATTGAAATGTAAATCCTTTGGCTGACTTAAGATCCCAGTTTTCTGGAATGTCTGTGATTTTTTTTCTTCTGTTTCTGGGACTGAAGGCCAGACCCTGTTAACTCCCAGGGACTAATCAGATTATTTTATTCCTTTGTACCATTCAGGGTGGAATCTGGGTGTGGTTGTATTCCTTGCCTGGGGGCTGGAGGGAGGGGTTATAACTTTAGGAAAAAATGGCTGCCCAGGTCCTGGGCTCAGGCATGACTCAGCACTCAATTTGCTGCCAACTCTCCTGGACCCCCTTCTTTCTCCAGCCTCTCCCCAGAGTCCACTTGTCTGCACCTTCTCCCGCTCCTCAGCACGGGTGAGTGTCTGTATCCGAAATGTCCTATGAACAGGGTTCAGTGAAAACAAACAAACAAACACCAGCCGCAGAAACGGGGAAGACTGAGTCTCTGGGAGCTCCTCTCTTACTGGCACTGCATGGTCTGGTCAGCGCTTCAGGCTGCCCCCTCTGGGCTCAGTCTTTCATAATTATGGCACCCAGATCTCAAATCCCCTGGCTCCAACAGTCCTGCAGATCTCCTTTCCCCCGTCAGAGGCTGAGCCTGTCCCAAGGGATGCGGCTGGGTGCCGCAAGGTTTCCCTCTGACCCTCTGGGCTCAGAGGTCTGGCAAACTTTCCTGCCCAGAACCCTGGTTTTTACCTTTCCAGGGGAACTCTGCCCTTCCCAGCTGCAAACTGTCTCACCACCTGAGACTGCTTTGCCAATTCAGGGTAGATATTATTCGTTTCAGCTGCTCATTCTGTTTGCTCTGGGACAAGCATTGGGACACGTTTGCCTATTCCACCACCATCTTGTCTCTTCTCTCGATAATATGAACATTTTAATGATCTTAATTTTTCCTCTCCATAAACACCATATATGCTTCCATTTATAGTTTACACTAGAGGCCTGGTGCACGAAATTCATGCAAGGGGGGGGGCCGGGAAGGGTATGTCCCTCAGCCCAGCCTGCACCCTCTCCAATCTGGGACCCCTCAAGGGATGTCTGACTGCCCGTTTAGGCCTGGTCCCACACCAGGATCGGGCCTAAACGGGCAGTCAGACATCCTTCTCACAATTCAGGGCTGCTGGCTCCCAACCACTCGCCTGCCTGCCTGCCTGCCTGATTGCCCCTAACTGCTTCTGCCTGCCAGTCTGATTAGCCCCTAACCACTCCCCTGTCAGCCTGATCAACACCTAACTGCTCCCCTGCAGGCCTGGTCTCCACCAACTGCCCTCCATTGCCGGCCCGGTCACCCCTAACTGCCCTCCCCTGCAGGCCTGATCGCCTCCAACTGCCTTCCCTTCCAGGCCTGGTCCCTCCCAACTGCCCTCCCCTGCTGGTCTGGTTTCCCCCAACTGCTCTCCCCTGCAGGCCTGATCTTCCCCAACTGCCATCCCATGCCGGCCATCTTTGACCACATGGGGGCGGCCATCTTGTGTGTTGGAGTGATGGTCAATTTGAATATTACTCTTTTATTAGCTAGGATTCCAATTATAGTTTACATTTAATTTTATTTTGTATTAGTTTCAGGTGTAGAACATAGTGTTTAGACAAATTTTACAGTTTTCTGCCTGATATTTTCAGTACCCCTAACACCCCTATGTATTTTAGAATCATGTGCCACTTCAATATGAAAATATTGCAGATTTCAATAAAGGGCCTTGTACATGCCAAGTCTTAAATTGTTCCTCAATGTCCAGGCTCTGGTTACAGTGTTAGGGTTCTACTGGAAAGACTTCTTTTGAGTGTGATCTTATGATTTCAATATACGTGTCCATGTGTCCTAAAAATCAATATGAAGTAACCCTCGGGCTCATGAGTAGAGGACTTTTGTAGAGGGCTAAGTTGTCCTGCCTTGCTCATGCCTGAGCTCTAACTTCCTAACCCCATGAAATGAGAAAGGCAAAAGGTCAAACTGAGTTACTAACAAATATTATAAAAACAAATGATCATTCATACTCCTCCACAAGAATATTTTCATTCATTCAGATGTATCTTTCTACTTCTAATAATCTGGGGTACTTCAGGACAATATGGCCAAATACATTTTGTTCCAAGTTGTATTTTCACATACCTCCTGGTCTCTCCTGTTTGGTGATAAGTATAGAAGAGAAAGCTATAAGGCCCATATTTTATTCGTGTCATTAAAACTTTATGCAGATATAACAGTATGTTTCATGGACTGCTGCATCAAATGGTTATAATGGAGATGAGTTTTCTCACAAGGAATTGATGGGGTTAAAATAGAAGTATTTTAATTTATTAATATAGATGTTGTTCAAGGTGCTCTTTACCCTGACATTAGAGAGCAATGAAGACTTGAAGTGATGGCCCTGACTGGTTTGGCTCAGTGGATAGAGCGTTGGCCTGCATACTGAAAGGTCCCAGTCAAAGGCGTGTACCTTGGTTGCGGGCACATCCCCAGTTGGGGATGTGCAAGAGGCAGCTGATCGATGTTTCTCTCTCATCGATGTTTCTAGCTCTCTATCCCTCTCCCTTCCTCTCTGTAAAAAATCAATAAAATTTTTTTTTTTTTTTTTAAAAGAATACACTTGGCATAAAGCACAAGTGGGCAACTCAGCTAGTCTGAGCGCCCCACCTGGTGGGTGGGGGTTCAAGGGTTTAAAAACAAAACAAAACAACTTGAAGTGATGAAAGTAAAATCATATCAATAAATTCCATGTGTGCCCTACTTGGTTTGGCTCAGTGGATAGAGTGTCATCCTGTGGACTGAAGGGTCCCAGGCTCGATTCCGGTCAAGGGCACATGCCCAGGTTATGGGCTCAATCCCCAGTGGTGGGGCGTGCAGGAGGCAGTGGATCAATGATTCTCTCTCATCATTGATATTTGTTTCTGTCTCTTTTTTCTCCCTTTATCTCTGAAATCAGTAAAAATATATTTAAAAAATAAATAAATAAATTACATGTGTTCTTCTGGAAGTGAGTGTGGCAAATTCATAACAGTCTTAAAATCATGCTATAGACTGAATGTTGGGGACCATGTGTCCTATGTGAAATTCCTATGAATTAATGTGTAGATCCTCAGTGCTATCTGACCCATTCTCCTCTATGCATATGTGGGATGTTTTAGGACTCAGTGACCTTTGAGGATGTTAATGTGGAGTTCACCATGGAAGAGTGGGCTTTCCTGGATTCGACCCAGAAGAAACTCTACACAGATGTGATGCTGGAAACCTTCTGGAACCTGGCATCAGTAGGTAGTTATGACAAATTCTTTTTTTTAAATATATTTTTATTGATTTTAGGAAAGAGAGGGAGAGAACGAGAGAAAAATCAATGATGTGAGAGAGATTGGCTACCTCCTGTGCTCCTCATGTTGCAAAAGAGCAGAGAAAAACTAAGCAATGCTTTAGAGAAAAAGAATTACACTGTTTATTTATGCCGGTGGATTCAGGGAATAACTTTCCAAATCTGGGTAAAGTAACACGCAGGGGGCTTCTCTTTTATATCTTTCTGGGGTCTTTGTCCCAAAAATATGGATTATGCTTCTTGTCCTTTTCATGGGCTTTGCAGGAAGGCCCCCTGGTGTTCGGGGTCTCCAGGCCATATCTGATGGTCTGGCCTGGCGCCAGCATTAACAACCCTCCCTCTGGGCCAGTGCACTGTTCACAGTTTTATGGCCTCTGTAACAGGTTCTGCAAGACCAGTTTCTGTGAAAGAGGTAGTGACTTAATTATAGGTTATCAAGAATGTACACTGGGCTGGCTGGCATGGATTCAGATTGCTAGTCCCCCTGCCCCCCCCCCCCCTCCAAATATCAGGGTTACATTGGAATCAGCCTTTTAGCCTCCTCACTCACACTAGGGATCTAGCCTGCAAACCGGTCCTACTGGGAATTGACCTGTGACCTTCTGGTTCATTGGTTGACTGTCAACCACAGAGCTACTCTGGCCGGCAACAACTTGTTACTTATTTAGTCAATTGGAAAGCTAGTGTTGCTTTCTCATCAATACTGTTTCAAGAACTGAAATATGGGAAAGCAGTACATTGCTAATTAAACTAGGAATGATCATAGCTCATTGTGTCCCTAAAATTTAAACATTTTTTATATTCTTTAATAGTTTATAATGTTTTTTCTAGCATGTATTTTAGAAGAAAAATGTGAAGACCTTGATAGTGAAGATCAGTATGAAAATCATGGGATGAATCATAGGTGAGTCACATTGACATGAGAAAGCATTAAGAGCATCTTTGTTGTTGTTGTTTTTTAAATGGTTTTATATACTTATTTTATTTATTTATTTAATATTTTAAAATTTATTTCAGATAGGTAGGGAGAGGGCGAAAGAGAGACAAACATCAATGATGAGACAGAATTATTGGCACCTGCCTCCTGCATGCCCCTCACTTGGAATCAAGCCCAGAACCTGGGCATGTGCCCTGACCGGGAATCAAACTATGACCTCCTGGTTCAGAGGTTGGCGCTCAACCACTGAGCCACACTGGTGGTGCAAAAATATGTTTTTATTAATTTTAGATTGTGGAGGTGAGAGGGAGAGATAGAAACATTGATTAGCTGCCTCCTGCATGCCCTATACTGGGGTTAATAAGTCTACAGTCTGGCCATGTTCCCTTTTGGGGAATTGAACCACCAATCCCGGTGCGTGGGTCCATGCTGAACCAGTGAGCCACATGGGCCCAGTCCACAAAACAATCTTAAAAACAGGTAACCCAATTGTATCAGCCCCATTTTAAATGTATTGATTCTTCTAATAATCTCTAAATGTTTTTTTTCTGAAATATGACCTAATGTTTAGTGTCTAAAAAAATAATTACACTTGGAAACTATATACAGAAGTACCATTAATGAATATAAGTGTTTTTATAATATCTATGATCCAGCCTATTTCAGAGGTTTTAGGATATCCACTTTCAAAAATTGGAATTTACAGAAACATCACACTTTCATTGAAAACAGTAAAAATGTCATTGTCATATGACATTGTCATTGTCAAATATTAAATCATTAACCGAGTATTAATAATATGCTTCTGATTTTTACAGCAGTCATACAGTAGAGAGACTCTGTACAAGGAACGATGGTAGAGAATCCAGAGAAAACTTCAGCCAGATTCCAAATCATAATGAGAAGAAGGAAACTCCTGCTGAAGTAAAACAACCTAAAGCCACGTGGTGTAGGCAAATCTTCATGCATTATTTATCCTTGAATAACCACCTGAGCTCTCACATTGGACCCAAACTATACCTGTGTCAGCAATACGAAGAAAACCTTTATAAATGTAAGGATCCTGAGGAAGCTTTCAAGCATCACCAACATATTCGAAGACATGAAGGCAGTCCCAGTGGGAAAGCTTTCTGCTATTCAACTTCCCTTAGAAATCATGAAAGAATGCATATTGGTGGGAAACTGTATGGGTGTGGGAAAGGCACTAGTCGTCTCATTTACTCTAAAATTTACAAAAATACTCATAGTGGAGAGGAACCATATCTAAGTAAGCAATGTAGCAAAGCTTTCAGGTCTCCCAAGTACTCTGGAGAAAATGAAAGAAGACACAGTGGAGAAAAGCCCTGTCAGTGTAAGAAATCTGGCAAAGCTTTCAGTTCCACTTCTCTTAGAAATCATGAAAGAACATTTACTGGCGAGAAACCTTATGAATGTAAGCAATGTGGGAAAGATTTCTCTCGTCGAGCTTCCCTCCAACGTCATGAAAGAATTCATACTGGGGAAAAGCCCTATAAATGTCAGCATTGTGGCAGAGCTTTCTGTGATCTAGATGCCCTCCAACGTCATGAAAGCATTCATACTGGGGGAAAACCCTATAAATGTGAGCATTGTGATAAAGATTTATCTAATCAAACTTCCCTCCGACGTCACGAAAGCATTCATACTGGGGAAAAACCCTATAAATGTGAGCATTGTGGCAAAGCTTTCTGTGATCGAGGTGCCCTCTATCGTCATGAAAGAACTCATACTGGGATAAAACCCTATGAATGTAAACATTGTGGCAAAGGTTTCGACTATCCATCTTCTCTCCAAGATCATGAAATAATTCATACTGGGGTAAAACCCTATGAATGTAAGCATTGTGGAAAAGCCTTCAGTTATCTACAGTCCTGTCGAAGGCATGAAAGAACACACACTGGAAAAAAGCCCCACGTATGCCAGCAATGTGGTAAGGCTTTCAGTCTTTCCATGTATCTTAGAATTCATGAAAGAATTCATACTGGGGAAAAACCCTATGAATGTAACCATTGTGGTAAAGCTTTCTCTGATCCAAGTTCCCTCCGACGTCATAAAAGAACTCATAATAAGGAAAAATCCTATTAATGTAAGCAATGGGGGAAATCCTTTATTCATCCTAGTTCCCTTTGAATTCACAAAAACATTCATAATGTAGATAAATCATAAGGAAAGAACTCACAGGGAAAATAAGCCCTATCATTGTAAAGGTTGTAGAAAAGCCTTTGAGTATGCTAGTTCTTTCTTTTTATCCTCAACCTGAGGATATTTTTCCATTGAGAGAGTGGAAGTCAGAGAGAAAGACAGAGAACAATATTGATGTGAGAGAAACACATCAATTCGTTGCCTCCTGCACGTGCCCAGACATTAAAGCACACATAGTGGAGAAAAGCTCTATTAATGTAAGGAATGTGGTAAAGCTTTCAGTTTTACCAAGTCTCTTAGAAAGCATGGAAGAAAGAACACATACTGGGGGGAAACCTTATGAATGTAAGCAATGTGAGAAAGCCTTCAGTTGTCTCACACATCTTGGAAGACATAAAAGAAGTAATGGAAAGAAGCCTCCTGAGAGGGGCTGGTCCTGGGCGTAGGGTTGTAGGAGGAGGCACTAGGGTGGGGTGGGGTCCCTGACACACTGGCTTCGGCCTTATTTTCCTGGGTCCCCACTGGAGTGGGCTGCTGAGTGGTGGCTGTGCAGGTGCCGGATCCCAGGGAGGTGCCCAGCCCACATGCAGTACACATCTGCTCCAGGAACTGAGTGCTTCACCTGACGTGCACCTGACCTCACAGTCCTGGCTCTGTGTGCATCTTGGACGCCCGGCCACTGGGCTCTGCTCTATCCTACTGGGGCACCTGGGGCAGAACTGCTCTCTTTGCAGGTCCTCTGCCTTGGCTCTGAAGGTCTGTGGGACTTGGAGCAGCTGCAACAAGCAGGCCAGCCACCCGAATCCCATGGGCAGACCTGTGGCTCTCATCCCCAGGAAACTGACTTTGGAAAAGAACAATGGGATGTTTTGAATTTAGGCACACATGTTAGGAATGCAAGGATTTTTTAGTCTTCTTTCTTAGATGGATTCAAAGCAGATTACTGGAATACAGTGCCTTACTTTACAGTGTACAGAGTGATGGCATAATTGCAAAAAATATTTTCTTAAGTATATTACAACATTTTTAGTGGAAACATTTTTGCCTAAGATTAACTGAGTTATCCTACTGGCACAAAATAAAATGACTGACCTTGAAAAATGCAAAGTTGAGAGATATTAAAGCACTAGTTTGGATTAGTAAATAGAAATATTACTGTGATCTTATCACTGAATGAGGGACATCAGGCAAGATACAAAACATTTCTAGCCCTATAAGAGATTAGATGGTAAATAGTTACCATCGTTAAATTAATCTTGAATAAGTAATGACCAAACAATTCCTAATAAGACTAAAAATTCCTCCTTTTTTACCTGGAAGTAGATTTGAGACCCATATTTAAAAACAATTTGGCCCTGGCCAGTTTGGCTCAGTGGATAGAGCATTGGCCTGGCGACGGAGGGTACCAGGTTTAATTCCTTTCAAGGGCACATGCCTGGGTAGTGGGCTCCAGTAGGGGGCTTGTAGGAGGCAGCCGATCAATGATTCTCATTGATATTTCTCTCTTTCTCCCTCTCCCTTCCTCTCTGAAGTCAATAAAAAATATATTTTTTAAGCAGTATATCTTATACAGAATAAAATAAACTTTAAAGACAATTTGATTGTTTCTAAATTTTTATGGGTGGGATTCATGAACTGACAGTGTATGGAAATAAAACGAATAAGTAAAGTGGGAGACTTAGAAAAATGAATGCAGTAAATGGTTCTGCTTCTTGGTTGATGCTAAGCTACCCCAGAGTTATTGCATCTGTAGCTTTCAGCTTTACAATGAGTACAATCCTAGATACCTGTCTCACCAACAATTACATAGGTAAATCACTTTCAATCTGATCAAGTTGCCTGCTTTGGTATTTTATGGTTATGAATCGTACCATTCAGTAAAAAGCTAAAAATGATCTGCCATGTCATAGGCCCAGACACTTCAGTGACTTCAAAAAGGTGAAGGCTTTTTAGTGGAGGTTAATTGTTTGTAAGCAGTGAAAACAACTCTGGCTAATTTAAGGAAGGCAGGCATTTCTCTGAAATGGGGCAGATGAAGACAGGCCTGTGAAAGGACCCAACAAGGGCAGCTCAAGTCCTGTCAGGGTCTGCCTGGAATGGGTCTGCATTAACCAGGGTCTCCCTTGGCTTTACTGCCCACAGAGTTGAATTGCCCAGATCCCTTTAGTTCCATGACCACCCCTAGGCCACAGGAGGGGGAAGAGTATTGAAAGATGTTCCCATTGAGACTTAATGCAGAGGTAGATGGTGGGTCCCCAGTGAAAATAGAGTTATTGTCACAAAAGAAGAGAGAAGAAATATGGTGTGGGCAAAAACAAGAGATATGTTGTTCAGGTAGGAATATAGTTATTAATGGTGAAAATGAAGAAATATTGGTATAAGGAAGCATCTTCCTTTCACTTGCGGATGTGAATTAGAAAATGATGGTGTCCTATTTGTATGAATTTATTATATTTCCTGCCTGTCAGATTCATTGGACATTGTATATGATATAGACATTATGTATTTATTGAACATCAAATGGGAGACAGAAGAAACTGTGTTGTAGGCCCCAACCCCTTCAATGTAGTCATGCAAAATAAGACAAGGCAGTGTAAGAAATATCGCAACTAAATATTAAGGGTAGTACAGTATGTTTCATAGGAGTTTTAAAGTAAAAAGAAAATACTTTTCTGGGCAAGTTTTATAGACGTTAAGTTTTGTTTGTCTGGGATCTTGAAAGATGAGTTGGGTTCTAGAAAGAAAAAACAGTGTATTTGTGGGGCATTCCAGAAAGCTCATTCAGGCTAGAGGAAAAGGAGCATGAAATGGAAGTCGTGGAAGATAGATAGACAGCCATTCCACTTCCCTCAGCGCAGTGCACTCTACTCCCTTACTTAGTAGGTCTTTGGATGTGAAGTTGTACTTTGAAAATGCAGTTATGTTAGAGCTGAGTTTCTTTTCAATAGCCTTTTCTTCATCAGCTAATCTTGAGAACTATAATAACCATAAAGGATGGTCTGAAATTAAACCACTTTAATTAGAAGCAGTTTATGGCAGATAGTCATGTCCCAGGCTAGGATCTCCCTGACAAAACTCAATCTTTCCCTTACCTACCCTGTCCATTGTGTTTTGCATCTAAGATAGAATACCTTGGCAATGTCAGGGTGACTCCCCCTATTTCAGACCCCTCAGTGCAGCAGGGCTGTGACTATAAATCCTCTCATTGTTATTGTTATGCTAATCATTAACTATTAACTACCCCGTACCCAGCTATGTAAAATATATATGTATGTCTATCATTTTGCTTTTCATCCTATCCCAGGGTTTCCCTGCTTTACTTCCTCTCAGCTTCCTAATATAACCCCAATGGATTTCATGTAACTCACTTGGATATTCTCTTTTGACTGTAATGTATAAAATAAGGTACCAAACTGCCATACTCTGGGTATTATCTCAATTCATTGAGATTTTGCCTCCTGGCAATGAAATCATAAATATTCTCTATAGGTTTGAAAGATTCTTACATTGATGGGATCCAGTTTTCTGATAAATCTCAATGTTGCTGGATTAAGCAGTGTAACTGTGGTAAGCAGCAGGAATGACACCCAGTGTCTGACAGGTGGGGTCAGACCCAACTGAGTTCTGCAATCTTGGTACTTGGTTCTGGCTAGGTAAGAATAAAGGGCAAGACCCAAACTGTAAGATAACATTTATTGGGTAAATTACAGAAGTAGGAGAAGTAAGTCTTAGAGGAAATGGGCTTAGGAAAGGAGTTAAGGAGGTAATGGAAGTGCCCTTGGAGCTTGGGAGTGCAAGCTAATAACCAGTTTATAAGACAGGGGTCCAGAATGAGGGCCAGGAGTACGTGCGAGTGACTCTGAGCTTTAGTGGGTCTGATGAAGAGTTCTGGATTCTCTATTCTGCTGGTGCTGCCTTAACCCTTTGAGTACCAACCAATATCCTAGGAACTATGCTAAAATTGCCAAGGCATTTTGGTGATTTTACAGCAGTTAAGGAAAAAAATTATGAATCGCAAGTAAATGAAGTTACATGTTCAAAAACTTAAGTAAACCTTTACTACATTTGTTTTCATCTTTGACATATATTGTTTGCTGATTTTATTATAAAATACTAGTAGAAAAAAATTTGACTTTTGAATTGCCCAGATCCCTTTAGTTCCATGACCACCCCTAGGCCACAGGAGGGGGAAGAGTATTGAAAGATGTTCCCATTGAGACTTAATGCAGAGGTAGATGGTGGGTCCCCAGTGAAAATAGAGTTATTGTCACAAAAGAAGAGAGAAGAAATATGGTGTGGGCAAAAACAAGAGATATGTTGTTCAGGTAGGAATATAGTTATTAATGGTGAAAATGAAGAAATATTGGTATAAGGAAGCATCTTCCTTTCACTTGCGGATGTGAATTAGAAAATGATGGTGTCCTATTTGTATGAATTTATTATATTTCCTGCCTGTCAGATTCATTGGACATTGTATATGATATAGACATTATGTATTTATTGAACATCAAATGGGAGACAGAAGAAACTGTGTTGTAGGCCCCAACCCCTTCAATGTAGTCATGCAAAATAAGACAAGGCAGTGTAAGAAATATCGCAACTAAATATTAAGGGTAGTACAGTATGTTTCATAGGAGTTTTAAAGTAAAAAGAAAATACTTTTCTGGGCAAGTTTTATAGACGTTAAGTTTTGTTTGTCTGGGATCTTGAAAGATGAGTTGGGTTCTAGAAAGAAAAAACAGTGTATTTGTGGGGCATTCCAGAAAGCTCATTCAGGCTAGAGGAAAAGGAGCATGAAATGGAAGTCGTGGAAGATAGATAGACAGCCATTCCACTTCCCTCAGCGCAGTGCACTCTACTCCCTTACTTAGTAGGTCTTTGGATGTGAAGTTGTACTTTGAAAATGCAGTTATGTTAGAGCTGAGTTTCTTTTCAATAGCCTTTTCTTCATCAGCTAATCTTGAGAACTATAATAACCATAAAGGATGGTCTGAAATTAAACCACTTTAATTAGAAGCAGTTTATGGCAGATAGTCATGTCCCAGGCTAGGATCTCCCTGACAAAACTCAATCTTTCCCTTACCTACCCTGTCCATTGTGTTTTGCATCTAAGATAGAATACCTTGGCAATGTCAGGGTGACTCCCCCTATTTCAGACCCCTCAGTGCAGCAGGGCTGTGACTATAAATCCTCTCATTGTTATTGTTATGCTAATCATTAACTATTAACTACCCCGTACCCAGCTATGTAAAATATATATGTATGTCTATCATTTTGCTTTTCATCCTATCCCAGGGTTTCCCTGCTTTACTTCCTCTCAGCTTCCTAATATAACCCCAATGGATTTCATGTAACTCACTTGGATATTCTCTTTTGACTGTAATGTATAAAATAAGGTACCAAACTG